GTGAGAAAATTCAGCTGTGAGAGAGACAACAACAAAAAAAGACTGAATAACTTAATCAAACAAGAGAACACACAGTGTCACATAAAGTTGAGTGGCAGCTTTCATTTTTGTTACTTTTGGGCGGCCCCCCCAGATTAATTGTTGTTACCCCCTGTGCCCCCCACCAGAAATTCTCTAAACCCGCCCTTGGACACCCCTACACAGCAAGAGAAGGTAAAAGGCAGTTTACTAGGTCAAGGTTTTGCAAGGTTACAATCAATGGATCAGTCAAACATAGAAAAGAAAGAGAAAAGAGCTAATTTTTTAAATGTAGCCGGAAATTCACACCGATGGCGGCTATTTGTGAAACATATGGTTGATGTCATAAATGACAGAAAAGGGGACTTCCTGGTAACTCACCTGGCAGAGCTGGCGCCCCGTGCACCAAGGCTGAGTCCTTGCTGCATTGGCTATGGGTTCGCCTACGACATGTAGCCCTTTGCTGTGTGTCATCCCCTCTCTCACTCTCTCTCCCTCCCCCCTTTCTTGTTACTCTTCAGCTGTAACTATCAATTGAAGAAATACATAAAAAAGGAATACTGCTTACAAGTGACAGCATTAGGCAACAACTTGAGCTTATCTAACTTCTTATTTCCAAATGACATTTCATGAAAGTCATTCTCCATCCATTATCTCTCCACTTAATGTAAAAATATCTAATGACTAACAGTAAATGCTTAGAAGTCAAAATCGCTTCCACTCTGTGTCTTCTGTGAATACAAAATGAGCACCTGTGAAGCCTGAGCTGCATTAGAAATCCTTCTTCACCTACAGAAGCATACTGTCATGTGCCAGTCATCTGTGGGTATGCAAATAAGATTAGTCTTGGCTATATCAGCCCAATGTAGTAGTTTTTTCAAAGCCATTTTTTCCCTTCATGTCGTTTTTATTGAGGAAAAAGGGAAATGTTGTTTTCCTCCACTCAGCCTTAGTGCTTAAAGTGTTTGAGAGAGATAAGGACATCTGCATGTTGAATCTTTTCCAACCTTTTTTTTTATCCTCCCAGAAACTGGTAGTTATCACCTGTTGAAATCAGTTTAAAAAAAATGTTTTCCAAGCATTTGCTGTTTTGCCTCTTCTTCAATTTAGCAGCTATAAAGACTGAGACTCAATTACTTATCAATAATTAACAATGGCTGCAAGCAGACAATCACCAGAGAGAATGCTATTTGAGTTTAAAGCATATCGCTAATGCTTTGAAAAATGCATCAGAGCATCAACACAGCATGGCTGAGTGAGTCTAGACACAATCAAAACCACTAGAATTCACAAGACAAACAAACCAGAATGGGGTAACAATTCATCATCCGTGGTAAAATTTGAATATTTGAGCTTTCTCTCTTGCAACATTGGACAGACTACTTTAACAGATAATCATGACATTTAACAGAGGCTTACAACATGGCTGCACAACTGATAATAGCATGGTGTTTGCTTTGGTAATAGCTCCCTCTCACAGCCTGAACCATCCTCTTTGTGATTTTGGCACTGGTACTTGGCACCTTAAGTCATAGCTATGTTTTTAAGGGACAGTTGTTAAGTGTTGCCTGCACTGTTTTAGTAGTTATTTATTCACCTCACAAAAAAGTCACATTGCACCACCAGATGTTTCAGAGTGCTCACAATTGATTTTCGCCCAGAACAAGAACTGCTGCTCCATTGACATTATGGATTCACTGGACAAGAGCTTAAAGACTTACCTGTGTGGTCCTACACTAAAAGTAGTAAAGGAGTGCTTTACTGTATCAATAACAGTCATGTTGTTCTTGGACATACTGTAGTGATGTTTGGAGGCATTGATCCTGTGCATGTGCCTGGTCTTGACACAAGGGACCTACATTCGAGTTACGGGGAAGCTACTGAATGGACTCGTTCATGACAACTTCACCTTCTGTAAGGACAAACTAACAAGTGATATATACTGTATATATGTATATGACATTCCCACAACAAACTCTATTTAATTGCTAGTCAGGCAACATTCCGAATCACAAATTTCATTAAGCCTCCATTTCATATAAAAGCTATTTTGGTCCACAGCTGCTTAAATCAACAAAGCTAATCATTGCAGTTGAGCCCCAATACTGTATGTATTCTTCCTGGTACTATGGATTCAGATACATATCAGTATAAATCAAAAGCCCATGCATTTGTAAAATAACCTTTTATTTGCCTAATAAGGTTCATCAAGGCTCTGTAAATGAAAAGTGACTGGCCTCTCATAAGTTCTGTATGTAATGGAACAGCTCCATTGTGTCATTAGACAGCCCATTCAACACCCTGGCTTTTCTTGGTGGTATGAAAGTACATGGCTGTCACATTTGTTATTATTCCCACACAATACAGTTTAATGTTTATCATCAGTCAAAATTATATAGGCATGTAGAGTAGAGTATGAAGCAGAGATAATTTGATTCTGTCTGACGCAGTTCCTAGATGACAAGTTTGGATGAGTGACTCTGATAGTATCAGAGTGATATTGTACTGATCCTTTCTCCCCGACATGTAAAACTAAACTCCCCTTAATCAAGCATCTGCTGCCCACTTTGATTCCCACCCACAAATGCTCTATGTGCCCCCTTTCCTTCTCTCTGGCTCACCACATTGCTGAACACTAGCGAGTTCCTAGATATCGATGTTGTAGCATATATAGTGTGCTCCCCTCATACCCCTAGGTTTGTCCAGTGCTCCAATTAGCTTCACCCTTGGCCTTTCAAACCCTTAACTTTGGAACCACTGCCCTGCTACCATGTGACACAGCAAACTTTTCCTGGAGTTTTTCCTGAGGGAAAAGTAAGACACAAGTAGCATCATCTAAATCAAAGAATTGACAAACTAGATAAGAGCTATAGCTTTATATTTTTAGGACTTATGTTGCAAAAATCTCTGTCATCATATAAACTCAAATGTGGCCTGTGCATTAATTTTGTAAAGTATTTGTGTAGCCAATATCCTTGTATCTCACCTACACCTACAAACTCCCTAAACTTGAAAAATGCTCCTCTGGCACGGAGTGATTTTGTTATCCTATGCACAGGTTAAGGGAAATTATTTAAGAGGATACCTTGCTATGGATTGCTAAAGTGTGCTCCATCATGCTAGAGTTGCCTGTAATGCCTGGATTCTGTAAGACTGGCTGCTGCTAGCCAAAGAAACTGCACATCTTTGTCATGCACTAGAGCAGACATATCCATAAACTAAGACAAGCTTCACCTTTCAAAACTCTAGCAGCTACTCAGCACGACATCTCTCCATTACTGATGGCGAGTGTCTCCAACTGGTGGGCACATAAATCCAGCTTGAGTGCTGACCTGTCTCAGAATCTCTTCTTTGTAATCACTATCACACCACTGACCAAAGTTCTTCTGCAGATCTCAAGTTGATGGAGTTCTTCCTGCCCAACCTTTGAGAATCTCTCTGTTAACTTACAGTCCATAACCAAGCGATGACATTTCCACCTAGCACATGGATCAATCTGACATGAGTGCCACGTTGCATCAATTCATCCACCAGGACCCCAACTGTAAACTGATATACACCATTTGGCTGGCAACTTTCATAGTGTGGACACAACCGGAGTCAGATACATACTGTAGGGCTCCTATTTTTGTGTAGTGCAAGGCTGCATGGCACAACCTTGACCAAGAATCAAAATCTCCATGGGGCACATGCATAAATATGACCCCTATAGCTTGGCTTCAAACCAACAGTCCAGACTTGGCTTGGGTGTAACATATGGACCATCTATCAACAAGAAGCTGAATAAGCTATCCAGCTATCCTCAAGTTGTTACCAAAACATTAATCCATGATCAAGGATATTCTGTGGACAGCTTACTCAAAATCACATCCCTAAAATGAACCATGTCTCTTATGAACAACCTTGGCCCAACACTGACACTATTTTCGATGAACTGAGAGTGGTAGCGAAGAAAAGCATAACCAAACAAAAACATGCCTGCTGTCCTGTTTGATAATGTACAAAAACCTGTACTAAATCTACACTAAAAAAACAAAAGTCTTGGCTCAACAAAGAAAATCAACAGTTTCCATCTCTCATTTT